TATATATATATATATATATATATTCGAACTTATTTATGTGTAGAATAACATTTGCACTTTCTTCAATTGGATAGTGTTGGTTATTTTTTGCAAGTTTTATTTTCTTCCTTCCTTTTACCAATATTCGAAATATGATTTTTGACTTCTTCATTCATGAATTAATACTGTAAATAAATCTTCAATTGTAGCCTCATGAGTGAGACGGAGCCGTCTCCGAAACTTAGAATAAAATTATGAAATTTTTGATGTAATTGTGGTTGTCCAAAATTACAAAAAAGGCACTGAAAAATATTAGAAAATTAATTATTATATTTGCAACGTCTTCAGTGTATGCAGCTGCAGAATAAACTGCTCTTGCAACTCACAATTTATTCCTCTTGAATAAAATATAATATTTTGAATAATTACAGTTTTGACGTTTTCTCACAGATTGTGTTAAAATTTCCGACGTTTTCATGTTTTCTCTGGTTTAAGAAAACTCAGATAATTATAGACTTATCTGTTTACATAGTACTTTCATAGAAATGTGTCCTCCCAAAATATAACATGACTAATTTCCTAATATACAGAAAAATTAATTTCGCAGAGAGTGAACTATTTGTTCGTTCTTCGCGAGTTCGTTCTAGCCAAAAATTGAATTTTAATTAGGTTCGCAAAGTTTCAGTTTTGAAAATCCCTAAGAACTTGGATTTAACCACGAACGTATAACTGAGATGACTATAAAACTTGCTTGTTCTATGCTGATAGTTGGCAAAACCAAATTGTAAATCAACCCTACCAAGAATGCAGTAGCGGCTCATGTCAGTTGTACCCTGTTTGCGGTAGAACCGAACATTTTCGCTACATAAATGTATTTAGGGGATTATGCACTATGTACAAAGTTTCATTTGTATATTTACTCTCGCGAATCACAATCCATCACAATGTTCATGGCCTTAACTGGAAATATAATACGAGAGAATAAACGTGTGTACTGCAGGTTCCGTGGTTTAACATCGCGAAGCTACTCTAGCACCATAATGACAAATCACAGTCGATGACAAACCGTAGGTTGCCAACGGAGGAGAGCCATTTATCTTCATCTGAGTCAACCATCTCAAAGACATGACAAGAAAATTGGAATCGGTTAATGGCAAGGTATGCAGCCTTCGCACAATCAGGAGAATTTACATTGTTTATGCTAACGAAAGGCAATATTAGTTTTTTGAATATACCACACTAACTGACAAAACATAATTAACGCATTTGAAAGGCCAACTAACGCACTAAAAGAAACACCCCTCTAAAAATAACAGAAAATGAAAATATTCATTAATTTACGGACGTAACGAACAGTACGTTAGGATTCCTAGCAAACACATTATAATTGAGACACATTGGAAATTGTTGCGTCAGTCCGCGAAGCCAACGACAGCGATCACCATCTAGTCCAAGAAATCATCTTTCAATGTAGTAGATACGGGCTCTAAAGTGTGTTCTTTATACTAGTGTACATTCATTTAGTTAGACGAATGAATTATTCCTTTTCCTACGGCTAGAGAAGCACACCCTGTTCCCCCTTTTCCAACCCCAATCATGAACGCGAGGGATATTAGAGTTGTAGTCGAGCATCTGAACCCTCCTGAGGGCGCGTGTACGTAAAAGGCTGGCCACCCCTGCGTCATCCGAAAGATCAGTCTTAGCTACATTCAGAAAAATGTTGTCAAGGGATCACTATTTTTATGGCCTAAGATCTTTTCGAGTGCTTAGCGATCATCATCTGAGCGAATCTAACAGTGGCTGGGCGGAGAACGAAATTCTTCCAACGCGAAGAACCGTGTTTCTTTATGAAGTTTAGAGAGCCCGAATTTCAAAGATGTCTTGTAAAGGTTAGACACCAACGAGTCTTAACAAGGTGTCGATTTCACTTCAGCAATTTCATTAATAACTTAGCTACATGTTCAACAGTTTTCCTTATATATCCATACATGCAATATTCAGTACTTACCATTACCTCAGACAATTCATTCGATAATTATGAGTATTGATAACTGGCTTAAATTCTGTCGTGATAAACCCTCTAGTCTCAGGATAAAGTAATTTTCGCCAAACCCAATCACCCTGGGGTTTAAGCAACTCACCGGAAACGTTTGGTTACTGAATTAACT